GAGAGAGAGAGAGAGAGAGAGAGAGAGAGAGAGAGAGAGAGAGAGAGAGAGAGAGAGAGAGAGACGGGAAGGGAGGAGGATTAGGGGGAGTCGGCCTTTTGAGTCTCTTTTTCTTGCGTGTGAGAGAGTGGGGACGGGGAAGGGAGGACGGTTACATGAAAGTCAATAGTGGGATGCGCGCATGCGCAAGAGAGAGAGAGAGAAAATTTGTTTGTGTTTGTGAGAGAGAGAGAGAAGGGGGGGGAATGTGCCAAGCTGTCTGTTATGTGACTCTGACATGTGCTACTTCGTTTCTTCTTTGCGTTTTGCCTTCCCGGAAATGCTCCAAGATGCTCTCATGTCAATGCTATTCCCGAGAAGTCCCCCACCCGAAGAGCAACTGCCAAGCAGATCGAATGCTGATTGTTTCATTCATACAATGCAAAACCTGCGTAACATCAGTGTCACTCCTATAGTTGGAGCCGACTTCCTTCAACTTCCCCGGGCCAATCGTCAATGACATCATCCGCGCCCAGCAAAGTGAGACTCACCCACACACGCATGCACTTGCGCACATAGCGTAAAAACTCAACAAGTAAGCACGGGGCATGCATACATGCAAGATGGGTTGATCACAAACATATCCAGAGAACACAGCAAACAAAGTCTGAATCTGAATCTTTAGCCACAAAAACATCAACGGGACAATGGACAGCATTTTCTCAGAAAAGTGCAGAGTTCTTGCACATCACAAAACAAAAACGATGCCGTGAAGGTAATGGCTCCCCAAAAAACACTCAAAGATAAAGGGAAAAAAAGGCTCGGCGGCATATGATAGGGGAGTTCCTTGTGCTTTTTCTTTCTTTTGTTCTTTTTTTCCTTTTCTGTTTTTGCGGGCGAAGCCGCAACGGGTCATCTAGTCTTGATTATTCTGCAACAACCCATCTTCCTGTGGTCGTTCTCTCCCTTGTTGCCTTTTCACACACGAGACTTGGTGCGTATCCCTTCCTCCCAGCCATCTCCTTGCCCAATGGTGGACCCGCCCTGCCTGTGTGGGGAAACTGGATGGGGAAAAAGACAAAACAAAACAAAACAAAACAGCAGCCACCAACAAGAAAGAGAATGGTCGACGATCATGGGAGAAAAGAGGGAGGGAGGAGGGAGCACGGGGCAAACAAGGGTCAGCATGGGCTTGAAACGGTATTCACCAGTTCGCAGTAGCCGATGCAGATCCCAGGGCGCGATCCCTAGTCCCCACCTTACCTGTGTACAGTATCTGTGTCGACCCCTAGAGTTGAACCCGTGACCTGTGTATTTGTAACAGTTGGTAGGTTGTCGTAGGGTCCATGGGTAGCAGGGGTTCGATCTGTAGACCTGTCGAGTTGGAGTTTCAGTCAGGTCTAGAAGTCGTAGCTGTAGCTTTCTCGAAGGGTCAAGGTCGTAGCTGCTACAGTCCAGAAAGGTCAAGGTCGTAACTGCTACAGTATCGAAAGGCCAGGTCTCGGCCTTCCGGAAGGTCGGAGTAGTGGCCTTTCGAAGTTGCCCACGTTTAGGCTGAGGCAAGTGGGCAAGTGGTGAGGCAAGTGGTGGAGTCTACCCGTGCTGAGTCAGCAGTCCCAGCCCCAGTCAGTCATAGTCCAGTCAAGCAAGTACAGCATGGGACTGTGTGCACTACGGGCATGGAAAACGGCCAGACCAACGAGCTGCAGAAGTATAAATCAAGAGGCAGCACCCAGTCATTCATTCATTCCTGCGTGAGCCATGCGGAAGCACTGCCACAGCGACTTGTGCGAGGTGGTCTGCAGTGAGCCGAGGAAGAAGTGGGCGAGAGAGGAGTTAGCCATAGCGATAGGCTAGTAGCGGCTATAGCTGCCATAGCTGTAGGTAGAGTTTAGTGTACGTGTGTGTGTGTTCTGAGTATCGCGTGTGGGATATCCAGGGTGATCCTGTGTATGCGAACAAGGAGTTGTGTGGGCGCTGAGTCGCCATAGCCATCGAAGTGAACTTGTATCTGACCTGTGTTCTCAGTGACCATATCTATGAGTTCTGAGTGGGCGCTTGTCGCCAGTTTGCTGCGCACCTGTTTGCATGCATGAGAAGTGTGAATGGGAGCGAGTCTGATTGCGTTGGTATCAGAGCTGGTACCCGCTATTCCACGCGCGCTGTGCCGTTGTGTGTCGCAGGGGGAGAACGCGCCATAGTTGAAGTTGCCAACGGAGGAGAAGTCCGCCATAGCTGACCCGGAGGTTGAAGAAGCCGCCGCGCGCACCTGCAGAGAAGACCACGACGAAGAAGAGAGATAGAGAGAGAGAGAAAGGTTGAGCGATACAAGATTGGCTTACCACGTTCCTGCGTTGAAGACATCGCTACGGCGAGAGAGAGAGAGAGAGAGAGAGATGAGTGATACAAGTTTGGTTGTCACTTACCTGTGAAGTGTGTCGTGCAGTCCCTCGGGGAAGAAGGAGGCGGCCATAGCCGCGGAGCTCGACAACAAAGAAACGAAGGAGGGTGAAAGAGAAGACAGAGGAGGAGACTGAGGAAGGTGAAAGAAGCCATAGCCGAGGAGGAGAAGGGAGAGACGATAAAAAAAAAAAAAAAAGAGAGAGAAAGAAGACAACCGGGGTGAAGAGAAAGGAGGCGAGGTAGGGAGAAGGAAGGAGAAGGGTGGCGACGAAAGTGAACCCGACCGCCATAGATGGAGTTGACCGAACGTGTTGATCGAGGTTGATTGGAGTTGACCGGGAGTTGACTGGGAGTTGACCGGAGGTGTTGATCGGGGTTGACCGAGAGTTGATCGGGGGTTGATTGCAGCGTTGATTAAGCGTTGACCAAGGCCGTTGACCACGAGTTTGACCAAGCTGGAGCCGGTATAATCTCGCCAAGCCTTCAGCCTATCCCCTCGCCCTATGGATGTGCACACACCCTGTGGTACTTGCTGAATCAAGTCTGTTTGTCTCTTCTTTCTGCATTGAGTCTCTTCTGTCCATGTGATAGGAACTCTGTGGATGAAGGATAGGGCCTTGTTGACCAAACCCACACGAGTTGAGTAGGGCTAAAGACTGTGTCTGACAACTCGACTGTCTCGGAGGACATGAACCCTCCCAAGGACCGGTACTGACCGGCGGGCTGCTCGGTGTGGCACGGTAGGCCGAAAATCCGAGCTGTGGGCTGCACAACAGGCCGTCTAAGTGTTGAGAAGACCTGCTGATCGAGTCGTCCTGTCTGCGACGTTAAAGAATTCCTGAGGAGTTACGGGGGATCTCCTTAAATGCCTTCTGATCAGCAACAGGTCTTGTAGTGACATCCTTAGAGTAGGTCTAGGCTAGAAACCCTAGTTGACAGGATCCTGTTCGGATTCTGTAAGTCCTTAGATTGAGTCAGTAGGTGTGTCAGCCAGGGGGAGTAGAGTCTAAGTGGTGAGGAGTGGAACCACTGTCTGGTTGTGCACCAATCACCATGGTGGACACCCGTAGTGGGAAGAGTACTGCCCCCCACTCCGAGGCTGATCAGACCCGGATTGCCGCCATCCTGAGGGAGAGGAAAGAGAAGAAGGAGCTCCTGAAGCAGGCGAAGTTAAAGGCTATTGCAGAGGAGCAGGCGGCGAAGAAGAAGCAGTTAGAAGAAGAGATGTTGAGGTTTCAGAAAGAGAAGATGTTACAGCAAGAGGAAGAAGAGAAGATTGCAGAGGAAGAAGCAGCAGCAGAAGAGGAGGAAGAAGAAGAAGGAGAGCTCCTTGAAAGAAGGCGTGGGGAAGAGAGAGGAGAAGTCAATGGCACGGAGGAGGAGGACAAATGGAGGGAGAAGAAGATCAGTGAATGGGTGGCTAATTTATCGTTGGGAGAAGATGAAGAGGCACAATTATATGTGCCGCAGGAGGAGAGGGAGGCGTTTGCCAGGGCACTGGAGTTGATAGAGGATCCCCTGGAATGCCAAGCGACAGAGGATGAGAAAAAGTTGGAGTGGAAGTTGAAGATGATGAGGGAGAAGAAGAGGAGGGAGGAAGCCAGCAGAATAGCCGGGGAGGTTGAGCGAGTGCGAACTGGCAGGCAGGAGTTGCAGGCCCAAACAGAGGTCTCTGCCAAGCTAGACAAGATGATGGGCTTCCTGGAAGTCTTGAGTGAGGCCTGGCTGGAGGAGCACCAGGCCTGTAAGGGTCAAGAGGTGACCCTGCAAGCAATGAGATCCGGGCTCAGGGAGTTTGTGAGCGACGTGGTGGGCCACGTCGGGTCTGAAATTAGAAGATTGAGGGATGGCTTAGACAACTTCTGCGCCGGCGCTATTGAGACCGCCAAAGTTGTGGCCACAACAGAGGCCATGGCGCGTCCCCGCAAAGAGCTTGTCAAGTTAGAATTCCCTGACCCGTATAGCGGGAAGAAAGAGGAAAATTTCGATAACTGGGAGGCCAATATAAATACAATGTTTTTTTACAGCATATTGCCCCCGAGGAACAAGTCCTCGTCGCCTTCCACGCTCTAAAGGACGAAGCGGCTAGCTTCGCCAAATCCCTCGCACGTGCCTCAGATTGCGAGCACAACATGATCGCATATTCCAGGCTTCCCCCCCCCCCCCCCGCCACTTTCCTCAAACTCCTGCGCGAGAGGTTTGCTGACATCACTAGAGGATCCAGGGCCTCCGACAAGCTCCAAACCATTCATTCACGACAGTGGAGGAGTGCGAGAGCACTCAAGGTTGGCATGGACGACTTGGTAGCCGTTCTAGACCACGGGGCCACTAAGACCCAATTGGTTCAGTTGTTTTATCGTGCCATGCCAGAGCCCTTACGAGGGCACTTCTTTGACAAGACCCAACAACCTAACATCACATACGATGCATTGAGTAGGGAGGTGGTCTTGTTTGAAGCGAAGTCGATGCCAGTTTCCACTTTCTGGCACAAAGACTTAGATAAGGGAAAGAAGTGGAAAGGCCGTACCATCTCTGGCCAAGTTAGGGCCAAGGATCATATGATCCTTACGTTGGAAGAAGGTGGTACCGACGAGGTCCCGTACAGTTAGATTGAGTGGGACCTCGAGGAGGAGGACAGTAACATAGGACAGGGGAGGTCCTATGCTGCTGTCGCGGCCGGAGGGAGGCCGCAAGGTAGAGGAGGAGGCCAGGGCCAAAGGGACCAGGCCATGGGAGGCCGAGGATCGGGCGCACAAGGGGTTGGCGGTCAGGGGAACCGTCAAGCGGGAGGTAGGGGTCAACGTCCCCCGTCGAATCGTCAAGGTCCCAGTCGGTCCCCACAGCGACGAGGTGGCAGATCACCTCAAAGGTTAGGAGGTTGGCACCCAGGCTGCGGCCAACCCTGGGAAGATCTGGGCCTAGATCATAAAGTCTGGCAACAACGTATAGAGCAGGGACAGTGCATCTATTGTGGTGACCCGGCCCGTATAATCAAATATTGTCCTAAGTATAGACAGGCTCGGTGGGCTGCCCAGGAGTCAAAAGGCAGCCGCCGGTAAGGGTTGCAACTGCCCCTACTATTAGGCCATGTGGGGAAGCGAGCGCGCTCGTACAGGAAACTCCCAAACCACATGAGCCTTCGACAGAGGTTGCAGGCCCGTGCCTAGTTAGTTGTCCAGAGACTGCTTGTGTTAGCGTCTCTCTAGGCGGGTCCCTCACAAGCGTGGCAGAGGAACTGAAGGAGAGGATGCCTGCTTGGGCCAAGATGAAGAAAGATAGTAAAGGGCAGCTAGTGTTAGTTGATGTAGAGGTCTTTAGGAGTAGAGTTGGGGCCCTTATAGATTCAGGGGCTACGCGCAGTTATATTAGCCGCAAAGCGCTGAAGAAGTTGAGGTTAGGATTGAAACTCCAAAAGTTAGAAGACCCCATAGTTAGTGTCCTCGCAGACAACCACACTATGCGTGTTAAGGACTACGTAGAGGGAGTCCAGGCGTTCTTCCGCCTAGAGAAAGATGGGAGGGTGGAGAAAGTTCTCCATTCCCTGACTCTCCTCGTACAGGATGACCTTCTATTTGACGTAGTCCTAGGCATGGCTCTGGGAAGAGGCAGCAGGGGCCACACTCCACTTGAGAGAGCATGAGTGTAGGCTCCCTAGTCCGTCTGGCGAGGTTAAGATTGCCCGCCTATTCCATGTGTCAGGAATAGATAACTCGCTGGCACATTGTTGTCTCAGTGCTCCCGTTCGCGCGACTAGTGAGAAAGGAGCAGTTAGAGGACCAGGTCTTTGTAGTATACGTCAGACCTGTAACTGAGCCTAAAGAAGAGGATAGTTCCACGGATCCCGCCATTGCCAAGCTGCTGGAAGAGTTTAAAGACTTAGCTGAGTCGCCGACAGGAGTAGTGTCGCGACCGATCCAGCACACGATAGAGATAGGGTCTGGCAGTAGAACTCCTAAGGGAGCCGTCTACAGGATTTCCCCTAGAGATTTAGAGGAGTTGCGCAAGAAGTTGGACAAGCTCCTTGAAAAAGGTTGGATTAGGCCCAGTTCGTCTTTTTTTGGAGCACCAGTTTTGTTTGTCCCCAACAAGGAAGGAGAATTGCGCTTGTGTATAGACTATAGGGGTATGAATGAGATTACCGTTAAGAATGTTGAACCACTGCCCAGGATAGACGATCTCTTAGATCGGGTGCAGGGTTGTAAGTATTTTTCAAAGATAGATTTGAAGTTCGGATATCATCAGATAGAGGTCCATCCTAATGACCAGTACAAGACAACGTTCCAGACTCGTTATGGGCATTATGAGTTCATAGTGATGCCCTTTGGACTGACCAATGCGCCAGCTACATTTCAGCAATGTATGAGTGATCTGTTTAGGCCTTGGTTAGACAGTTTCGTCGTAGTATATTTAGACGACATCTTAGTCTTCAGTAGGACCCTCCAAGAGCACCAGGGTCATTTGAGGCAGGTCTTGGAGAAGCTAAGAGAAGATAACTTCAAGATCAATGCGAAGAAGTGCGAGTGGGCCAAGACACAAGTCCTGTACTTGGGCCACGTGTTAGACGGAGATGGCATTAAGCCTGAGGACAGTAAGATAGCGGCAATCTGGGAGTGGGATAAGGACTGTACGTTTGCGCTAAAGAAGTTAAAGCGCGCGTTAATCGAGTACCCTGTCCTCAAAGTAGCAGATCCATCTTTGTCGTTTGTCGTCACTACGGATGCGAGTCAGTATGGTATAGGCGTCGTGTTTCAGCAAGACGATGGCAATGGCTACGGACCTGTAGAGTTCATGTCAGCGAGGATGCCCTCAGAGAAGGTTGCTACCTCGACGTACGAAAGAGAACTCTACGCTCTCAGGCAGGCTTTAGAGCACTGGAAGCATTTCTTGCTTGGGAGGCACTTCAAGGTGTATTCAAACCATGAGACACTTAGATGGCTGAAGACAGGCCAAGATGACACCGAAGTTAACTAGGTGGGCCGTTGAGATAGACCAGTACCGCTTTGAGCTCAAGCCAATTAAGGGCAAGTACAATGTAGTTGTGGATGCTCTAATTAGGAGGTCAGACTACTTTGGAGCTATAGTTCACTATCTGGACATAGGGAGTGACCTGCAAGAGAAAGTTAGACAGGCGTATGCGCAGGACCCTATCTATAGTGACCTCCTCAGGAGAGTCAAGGAGGCCCAGAGACCGAACCAGACTACCGCACTATAGAGGGTCTGTTATTTGAGAAGACTAATGTAGTAGACCGCTTGTGCATTCCCAATAGTGAAGAGATCCGTAGTTTGATCTTAGGGGAATGTCACGACATGGAGGGACATTTTGGTTGGCAGAAGACTTTAGCCAACTTAATGCACGCGTATACACGGCCAGGAATGAAAAACGTCTGCATAGAGTATGTCCGCAGTTGCAAAGTCTGTAAGAGAAACAAGACTACTACGCGTGCCCCTCTACGTCTTCTCAGACTCTTGCCTATTCCTGATCAGCAAGGAGATTCAGTGTCCATTGATTTTATGGACGCGGGTGTCAAGAGTAGGCACGACAAGAGCCAAGTCATGGTCGTAGTCGATAGATTTAGCAAGTATGTTGTTTTTGTCCCTTTGCCTGCAAAGGCACGTACAGAGTTAGTGATTTAGAAGTTTTTTGATTTTTGGGTTACCGAGCATGGCGTCCCATTGTCTATTGTTAGTGATAGAGACACCCGCTTCGCTAGCCAGAACTGGCAGGAACTGATGAGAGTCTATGGATCTAAGTTTCTCGCCGCCATCTTGAGACTAACGGTCGGACAGAGCAGATGAACAAGATCCTGCAGCAAGTTCTGCGCATGTACATTAGACCTGATCAGATTAACTGGGATGAGATGTTATCCAAGGTAGCCAGTGCATACAATAACAACGTGCGTTTGTCCACTTGTCGCACTCCCAACGAGTCGCACAAGTCCTTTAGACCACGTAGACCGTTTGAGGGACTTAACCGAGATCAGATTCACAGGCTACCGCCCGGTACCAGGGAGTTCGCGATATAGCACGAGAAAGAGATAGCCACTGTTGTTGAGAACCTCAGGAAGGCCCAACACCGGATGATAGAACAGGCTAATAAGCATCGTCGCCCGTCACAGTTCCAAGTAGGCGACTTGGTTTGGGTCAAGTCCAAAGAGTTCGCTCCTGAGGAAAACATCTCGCAGAAGTTACTGCCCGCGTATAGAGGACCGTGGCTAGTTCTAGAAGTTAAGGGCGGAGACGTTGGGCCGTCCTACACTATAGAGATCCCAGCACACCTCCACACCTACCCCGTGTTTCACGCATCAAAGTTGTTGCCGTGTGTCACCAATCAACAATTTCCATCTAGACGGTCCATGATCCCTCCAGACATGGATGGCAGATATGACATTGACGACATTGTAGGTGCAGATATGTTCAGAATAGGAGGTAGAGGTCGTCCGCAGAAACAATATAAGGTCCGGTTTGCTTATCAGGAACCGGAGGACGACCGCAAGAGACAGCTCCCGACATAGTTAGAGCCTACGAAAGAGATAGGAAAGGGAAAGGCCCTGCCTTGGACTGAGTTATTCTCGGAGGACCTCGAATTTAGGCCGGCGGGAGTGAAACGGTATTCACTAGTTCGCAGTAGCCGATGCAGAGCCCAGGGCTCGATTCCTAGTCCCCACCTTACCTGTGTACAGTATTTGTGACGACCCCTAGAGTTGAACCCGTGACCTGTGTATTTGTAACAGTCTGTAGGTTGTCATAGGGTCCATAGGTAGCAGGGGTTCGATCTGTAGACCTGTCGAGTAGGAGTCTCAGTGAGGTCTAGAAGTCGTAGTTGTAGCTTTCTCGAAGGGTCAAGGTCGTAGCTGCTACAGTCTAGAAAGGTCAAGGTCGTAGCTGCTACAGTATCGAAAGGCCAGGTCTACGGCCTTCCAGAAGGTTCGAGTAGTGGCCTTTCGAAGTTGCCCACGTTTAGGCTGAGGCAAGTGGGCAAGTGGTGAGGCAAGTGGTGGAGTCTACCCGTGCTAAGTCAGCAGTACCAGCCCCTGTCAGTCATAGTCCAGTCAAGCAAGTACCTCATGGGATTGTGTGCACTACGGGCATGGAAAAGGGCCAGACCAACGAGCTGCAGAAGTATAAATCAAGAGGCAGCGCCCAGTCATTCATTCATTATTGTGTGAGCCATGCGGAAGCGCTGCCGCAGCGACTTGTGCGAGGTGGTCTGCAGTGAGCCCGAGGAAGAAGTGGGCGAGAGAGGAGGAGTTAGCCATAGCGATAGGGTAGTAGCGGCCATAGTTGTCATAGCTGTAGGTAGGGTTCAGTGTTTGTGTGTCATTAGCTGCAAAAAAAAAGAAAAGGAAAACCGCCGGCCAACAGTGGACTGGCACGTGGGCCGGCGAGCACATGTGATTGTGCCATCCCTTTGTCTTTTCCATCTTTTTGTTTTGGGGATACAATTTCATCTACCCAGCGGGAGGACTTATTTTGATTGCCGTTTTTTTTTTTTTAATGTAAAAAGATCCCGGTGTGCATCTGACATCCAGAGTTGAACGCCTTGGGTTCGGTTCGCATTGGGAGCGTTGAGTTTTCTGAATGCCCACATGTGACTGTGGCACCTCTTCGATGACAGCCTTGCAGCCCTGCAGTTTTCTCCCATGTCTTCTTCTTCCGTCCCCTCCCGTCTTTCCACTCTATGCCTTGTGCCTCGGAGGCGGGTGCATCTGGCCATGTTCTATCGGGAAGTTCACTCTCGTTTTGCACATTTCGAGAGCGGTGAGGCGATGCCCTGTATCGTTCCAAGTTTTATGGCCATCGCGATGGACACTACAACCACCAGCACCTACCGATTGTTCAGGCCCGAATCTAATCCTGAACAACCCGAACGTCAGCTTACCGGTATCCTAAGCTTGCCATGCCTCGAGATACTGGTAGGAAAACATAGAGAAAACAAAAAAAATAAAAAAAAGACAGAAACTAAAAAATAAGCAACATTCTTCTATTACAAAAATGAGAAAATTAAAGAAAAACACAACACCCCGTTGCTCTCAGCACGTTAGGGGGGAAGAGAGAGAGAGAGAGAGAGAGAATGATGCCGAGTTTGGCGCAACGAACTCGGCGGCAGTGTCTCTCTCTCGCTCTCTCTCTCACACACACAAAAAAAAACAAATCCGACAATGTATACTTCCATGTTTTAGCGGTAGATTCATTCGATTTTGCTCATCCTATCGATGGAAGTAGCATGAGGCTAGTTGCAAGGTTGGAGACTTAAATGTAGCATGAGGCTAGTTGCAAGGTTGGAGACTTACTTGTTCTCTCGGTCTCTCTCAGTCTCTCTCTGTCTCTCTCTCTCTCTCTCTCTTTCAGTGTGTGTGTGTGTGTGTGTGTGTGTGTGTGTGTGTGTGTGTGAACGCGCATCGGGAGACAGAAGCAGACACGGTGCTCCCTATGTGCAAACTGAGAATGAATCTTCTGCAAAAACGCGGGTAGATTATTTCCCATTGTTTCAATTTGAAAACGTGCATGCGCGCGCACGCGAGAGAGAGAGAGAGAGAGAGAGAGAGAGAGAGAGAGAGAGAGAGAGAGAGAGAGAGAGAGAGAGAGAGCCCGGCTCCTCCACTCTTGAAAATTGCAAAACGAGAGTGAATCTTCTGCGGGAACATGGAAAGATACACCGTGATGATTTGTCTTTTGTGCATGTCAAGCGAGGCCCGCTGACGTGGAGTTTGGAGAGAGAGAGAGAGAGAGAGAGAGAGGCCCCTCGACTCTTGAAATTTGCAAAACGGGAGAATCTTCTGCGCGAACACGGAAAGATACACTGTGATGATTTCTCTTTTGTGCATGTCGAGCGAGGCCCATTGATGCAGAGTTTGGAGAGAGAGAGAGAGAGAGAGAGAGAGAGAGAGAGAGAGAGAGAGAGAGAGAGGGACTGACGCCAAGTTTGGCGAACCAAACTCGGCGTCTGTCTCTCTCTCTCTCTCATGGGGAGATTTGTGCTTTCTCAAGCTTTTTTTTTTTTTCTTGCCTTTTATTTTCTGAGGGTCGACCGGACGTTGGCTTGCCCGACCCCCGAATGGCGCGGCATGTTAATGGCCACGATATCTAGAAAACAATGGGAGGTACTGGTGGTTTAAGGTTTTGTCGTTTCCCAATCCTGTAGATTCGGTCAGTTGTCTTTTTGTTTTTCTTGAGGCCATTTTGTTTTTTGTCGCGCCATTTGTGACTTCAGGAGTCTCATCCTTCTGCAAGGCGCATAGTGCCTCGATTGGCGATATCGGGGCAAACTTGTTCTACGACTTTTTGCAATGTACCTGGACAACATATGGGCATATGTGTAACGCTGTTTCCATCTGTCTGCGAATAGACCCTTCGCTGGAACATGTGAAAGTACACTACCTGTGGTTATATCATAGGGTGACCAGCATAAATTGAGAAATGGTCCTAGGAAAGAAGAAAAAAAAAAATTCTATGAATCTGCCTGTGCTCTGGCTCTCAAGAGTTGGTGAGTGTACCCTTTTTTTTCTACCCTCAAGCCACATGACCGTTTTTTTTGCTTTTTTGGGGGCAGGGGGGCTTCAAGGGTTTCCCATGCACAAGCATGGTGTCATCCCTTTTCCCCCTTGGGCACAGGGTGCGGGACCTGTAAGAAGCTGGCCTTTTGCGAATGCCGTGGTCATTTGTAACTATTAAACCACCGCTATCCCCGCCGGCCCAAAGTCAGATTTTCGAGGAGTTAGGGCTGGAAAAAGCGGTAGGGCGGCGACGGGCGGGCGCAGGTGGGGCCAGTCCTGCAATTTTCGAATGCCAACTTTGGCGATTTTTCACAATCAGAAGAACTGACGAAAAAGGGGCTCGTTAGACACTCCTCGGGCGCGTAAAGCTCCCAAGGAATTGTTCGTTCCACCTATCCTTGGGGATGCAGT